TAAAATAAAACCAAGAACTGCGGATGCTGAAAAATCTGGAACGAAGACAGGAATTGCTAGAGAAACTCAGCAGGCCCAGCAGTATCTGTGGAGAGAAAGCAGAACTAATGTATCTTGGGCCCAGTGACCCTTCTTCAGAACTGATAATAGCTAGGAAAAGGTGGCATTGATGCTAATGACAGGGGCTGGGGGGTGGGGCGTGGGGGGGTGGTGAATGGGTAGATGGAATTGGAGCCCAGAGAGAGAAAGAAAGTTAGGCAGTCAAAGGGGTAGTTGATAGTAAGCTAGGGAGGAAGAAGTATTGACAATGGGGACCCTAAGTAGGTGAAAATGGCTTGGCTATGCTGTATGTAGCCCATGTCATGACAGGGCCTGGCATGTGGGAATGGAGTGTGGGGGTCGGTAAAGGACATGGAAGAAGATGGTCAGGCTCTAAAATTATTGAACTCAACATTGAGTTCTGAAGGCTGCAGCGTTCCCCAAGCAGAAGATGAAATACTGTTCTTCCAGCCTATGCTGAGTCTCACTGGAGCACTGCAGCACTCCTGAGCCAGAAACATTGTCATGGGAACACAATGGTGTATTGAAATGGCAAATGGATGTTTGGGGTCATTTTTGCATGCAGAATGTAGGTGTTTAAAAAAATAGTCTTAGTTCCTCTCTGTGTCCATAAGAGTATTATCTGAAATGAAAGAATCTTAAATTACGGAAAGATTCCATTTGGCTGATTATATCTGTGCCACTTCTTGGAAGAACTGTCCAACTTAGATCTCAGCTTTGCCCCCAATACTTTGTTGTAGATCTCAATAAAAGATAGCATAAATGGGAATCCAATGGTCTTGTATAGGTCTATTAATAGTGAAAGGAGTGATGAATGGTGGGCTGCAGAGATAGTAATCAGCAGTGCTATTTGCCCCCAGTGAACCAATATAAGTCTGGTGCACAAGCAAATACCAAACCACCGCTCCCCCACTATTAAATTCTATTAAAGTGTCATCTATTGGCATCAGATGATGTATAACATGTATGTGTACTTAAAATGGTATTCTCTGTAAGGAAAATGCTCATAGGACTCTGGAGTTTTGTGTATATAGCCTGTATCAACTTCGTCAAAATTATTTCGATGGATGTGGGCTTTTCTATTACCCCCAGCGATCTTTGCTCATCCTTAATTGTCCTTGAGAATATGGTGATGATCTCCATTGAACGTCTGCTGTCTATGTGTTGTAGCCCACATTGGTGTTAAAAGATAAGTTCTCAGGTGTTTCCCGAGCAACATATTGTTCCAAATCAGAATGGTTTGTCGCTTGAAGGGAATGTAGTGATGTCCTTATTGTTATTCCCAATTGATAGTAATGCTGACTAGTCAGATCTCAGAATAAAACTGGCTTGATAGATCATATATTTAATTTTTTGGTTACTGAAATATATTCACATGATCCTGCAGATATTCTCTAACAATAGAACATAAATTTTTTACAGAGAAGAAGGAAAAAGCAAATGAACCTACATATACAGAAGATAGTCAGAAAGATCTTAACACTGACGTTAAAACAAAGTTTCTACCTGTTTCTCATTGCTATCTGTTACAGAGATTCAATCCCTATCTCAGCTTTTTTATATATTTAAAGTTAAAATTAAGTCTTGAGTCTTTTCTTTCTTGAACTGTGGAATTAATTTTGCAATATCTGCCCACGGCTGTGAACTTTTCATAATTCTGTTGTCCAACACTTTTCCAGGTCTAACGACTTCCAGACCTTTAGTTAAACTATCGTGGGTTAGAAGCTTCACAAGATAAAAAGTATTTCTGCCGAGGACACCAGTACCCTCAGCGATTTTTGCTCATCCTTAATTGTCCTTGAGAATACCCCTTAAGGTACCCCTTAATCAAGATCAAGACTTAACTCTGGGTTCTTCTGAACTCAGAATTTAGACTGCCTGTTCTGAAGTCAAAACTAAACTAATTGCGTTAATGTTTTTACTCTCTAACATAAGCTGAACAGTATAAACATTTTACCCATTAATGATGCAGGAGCTCTGCCAGATATTTGACTGAAGTTGCATGAATTCCTAGAAATAATGTATTTAGGTCACGGATGACTTTGCAAAACCTTCACAGGACAAACCAAAACTCACTTGCCTCTATCATTTTTGAAAAATCCAAATTCCAAAATGATAAATTATGCACATTTAGCAAACTATGCCCCTGCCCTTATCCTTCTAGTTGGAAGAGGTCACAGGTTTAAGATAGCATAGGTGCTAACACAGGGATTTAAGTTAGTTACTGCAGTGCATTTTGTACATGGTACTCACTGCTGTGACTGCATGTTGATGGTGGAGAGAGTGAATCCTCAAGTGAAAGGATGAGTTGTGAATTTACTGGGCTTGAGCTGGCGCATGATGTTTGTAAATGACTACAAACTGCGACTGAATATAATTCTGCTACTGTTTATAGCCCACAGCACCTCATAGATGCCTAGTTTAGATCTGCTTTGTCTGTTCAGTATGTATCCATTTAGCATGGTAAGAGTGACACACAAGGCAAATAGCAGAGATTTGGTGTTAGGTTACCATTTTGAATCATGCCGGTACAATTAATATCCCCTTTAAACACTCCCATCTGAGTGTGTGTTCAGCTACACTCATACCCAATCCACCCTTCAGCATTATTTAAAAGACCAACTTCCTGTGATGTTTTGATTTACTCTTGCTGGTGTCAAGTTATTGGAATACAGTATTAATATAGTTTTGCCGGAAGTTTCCTAACATTTTGGATTTTCAAGGGAACGATGTTGGATCTGACACGGAAATCACAATGTAGGGTTATAGCTGGAGCCTCTCCTGGGTCACAACATGATTTACACACTTACAAACATACATGAAAATGTATGATTTGGGAACAAGAATAAGCTACTGGACCACGCCAGACTATGATTCAATAAGACCGTGGCTATTCTAATTGCTCCACAGTCCTGCCTGCTGGCAATAATCTTCCACTGCCTTGCTTATCATGGTTGTATCTACCTCTGCTTTAAAAATGTTAAAGCCTCGGATACCACTACTTTCTGAGGAAGAGAGCTTCAAATACTTGTGACTCTCTGCAGGGAAAAAAAGTTATTCTGGTCTCTGCCTTAAATGGTTGATCCATTACTCTGATACAGTGACCCCTAATTCTAGATTTTCTTACGAGACGAAACATCATGTCCACATCCACCCTACCAAGGCCCTCAGGATCTTGTATATTTCAGTCAAGTCACCTCTTAATCTTCTACACACCAGCAGACACAAGCCAGGATATGCACCTTGGAGCCCTGGGATGTTGCAAAGTATTTCTAGTAAGTTGCTGTCAGACAGATCCTGCAAGTCCCTTTGAGTGCTGGTACCTGCAAGCATAGTGGCAGCAGTCTGAGTCTGGTTAGCATCAAGCATGGCTCTTCTTAGCTCAGTCTTCATTCCATTACTGAGATATTGAGTGGTTTCTGTCTTTCCTGCAGAGGATATTGAACCGTGACCACCAGATGTTACACTGCTGGGTCCATAAGTGCAGCTGTGGCATTGGCCAACAATTTCACATTGACAAGGATGGGTATCCAGCACTATGCACCAAGTGGGATCCCGACACCTTTGTGCTTCTGTACGGTGGTAACGGACTCTTTGGCAGGTCCATCAATGTACCAAATACCTCATAACTATGTCAGATCAAGTGATGATGCTTCCACATTACAGGCCTAGTGTTACTTTCCCTGTTCCTCATTAGGCTGTAGTCACTGGCCAGGCAGCAATCTTTGGTTGCTTGAAAACACAAATGCAAAAGGACAAGGCTAAGGGTTTTTGGGTGAAAATCAAGCATTTACAATCACACCATCTGTAGCTTTCACTTCACAACAAATTGTGGGATGAGAGTGAGATGGAAAATAAAGCAAGAATATACTGACATCGTTCATGGTTCTCAGTCACACAAGATGCAACATAGCCATCTTCCAAATCCGATGCCATGATGTGCAGAGGACTTGGTTGTTGCAGGTATACCTGTCTCCTTTTTGCTTCTACCTTGGCTTCTCCTGTTATGTGCTACTTTGTCCTGCAAGAGAAAGGATACGATGTGAGTGGGCGCCTGCCAAAGCTGAGTAGCTGGATGCATATGGAAGCAGTGACAGCCAAATGTAAGGCTGCTAGCATTAGGACAGTGGAAAACTTACGTGGGCTACCTGAATGTTAGGTTTGAGACCAGATTGCTAGCAATTGCTAATGGCAAGTGCTGGTATGTAGTGTATTGAACAGCCTGAGAGCTTGCTAGCAGAGATATATTCACCGATCTTAACTGTATGCCTCAAATCATTGAACTTCTTGTGATATAGCACACAGGTCCAAGGTTAGCTTTCAGGATTTGTCCTAACTGGTGAACTGCTCCCATTTCCTTTTCACGTTTTGCCTTCAGGCCATAAATGTCAACAGTGCAGAAAAAGGCCCTTTGGCCCATTGAGTCTGCATCGGTCAAAAACAAGCACTAAGTATTCCAATCCCATTTCCAGCACTTGGCCCACAGCCTTGTATGTCTTGGCATCGCCATCTGGCTGTCTGTGGAAACATTGTGTCTCCTGACCTTTCCATGTCCTGGGCTGCAAGCTGAAATATCTTAGATGACGATGCAGAACAAGATGTGTTGCTGCCTGTTTAAATTGGACCTGAATCTGGGCAATTGCACATCCTGATCACTAAGTCTGAAACTGAACCTGAACAAGTTGTTATATCATTGTCTTTCTTTATGAAGCACAGTAGCCAGTGGAAATTTACCATAATGTAAATGATGTTCATCGGAATGAGAAAAGCTATTCTTACGTATAATGAACGTGATCCTTCACTGAAAATTAGAATGGAAAATTAAATATTAAACAGGAGTATCGTTTCTGTGGAAGAGAGTTGTATATCATAGTGGTGGGTAAAAGCATAGCATTCATTCACAGTTTTGTAAAATGAATTATTTCTTTTTGTGTTAACAGGTTTGGGATGACAATCTGGCAAAGTCTGCTGAATCATGGGCTGCTACATGCATCTGGGACCATGGACCATCGTATCTACTGAGATTTCTGGGACAAAATTTATCAGTTCGCTCTGGACGGTGAATGTTTAGTTTTAAAATTGCTCCCCTTGAAATGTGAACTGAATTTTTTTTTGTATGCAGGTTCACCTCTCAGTGCTACCCTAGCTGTGTAGATCAGGACAATTTCCTCTTTTTTTAGGGCATTTGTGATTCTCAGCCACAGAGATAGAGCCCACATGATTAGACCCAGGCCTCTTGGACCAGAAAGTGGGATGGAACATCCTGGAGCATAAAGTTTCAGGACTCAATTTTTAAGTCCCCAGTGGAGGCAGGGGGCCGTTGGATTTCACACTGGTGTGTCAGTTCCCTGGCTCTGTTCCACTTCTGGGTCATTTTCCAAGAAATGGGATGGAGTAGCAGCAGGCTCCCTCCTCGCAAGTGATGAGCTGCCAGTAGAGATGGGTTAATGACCATCTAAGGCCTTTTCTTGGAGGCTGATTGGGATTTTTGTTTTATAGGGAAAGGGACAGCTCCATTCAGGCAGTCTCAAGGCAACAAGCTGGATTTATCCCTATTGGTGATAGGCTCCTATTTTTTTGTGTCCTGCCCTGCCTGCTGGAGCCCGCCCTGACCAGGAGCTCCTTCCACACAGATTTTTTAAATTTAATTCTTAAAGAACTTAGAGAAAGGCTACCTCCATCAGGACTGTCCTTTACCTACCTTCTCGTCTTACTGCAGCTTCCAAGCTGAGGAACTCCTATTGATCTTCCAGTTTTGAGACCCCGTTTTCCAACCTTAATCAGAGCTCTGATGATTCATTTTCCAGTTCAGGGAAGAGCCAAGATGAGTGGCTGTATCCCACACAGAATGAGTTATTGACCCCTACTTAAGCCTGATAGACTGTTCCTCCAACCTATAGGGAAAGTTAAACCCCTGATCTTTACCCACTGTCAGCTACTGATGAGCTGGAATGCATATGTGAACATGTAGTAACTGGCTAAGACTTGACTATGACCTGTTATTTTATTCACTTTGGGGGATGTAGATGTTGCTGGCTGAGCCAGCATTTATTGCCCGTCCCTATTCGCCCTTGTCAAGGTGGTCGTGAGCTGCCTTCTTGAACCACTGCATCCATTTGCTGAAGGGAGACCCACAATGCGCTTAGGGAGGGAATTCCAGGACTTTGACCCAGTGACAGTGAAGGAACGGCGATATATTCTGAAGTCAGGATGGTGAGTGGTTCAGAGGGGAACTTGCAGCTTGTTATGATTAAGCAGCCTTCTAACACTCAGTGTCTCGGATCTCATATGAAGGGTGAAGTGATAGTCACTGTAGTCCCAGAGGATAATAAGGCTGCTGTCACATCACGGAGAGAGACAACTGGTGCTGGTGAGGAGGTAGTTAACAACCATGAAACTGAATGTCAGCAGGAAATAGTGCTAACAGAATGGGAACAAGGTTTAACATTATTGCCCATGTATTCCTACATCAGAAGTGGCAGATTATGGAAATTAAAAATATTGCTTGCCTCCAAAGATGTTCACATCACAACTACTGTGGCACCCTAGTATTATGTTCCTTTAAACCAGGCCACCGTCATCTCTGAAATCAGCTCACTGGTGCAACCAACTAATTTATACAAAGGGAGCAAAACAAATGGGATTTTGGTTTAGGTTTGCATGCACCTTCACAGTCGCACTGTGCAAATATTTCCAGACGAAACACATGTCAATATACTAAGAATTCATGTTTAATATGTCTCTTATAGTTGTAGTGATGAAAACAAAATCATTATTGAAATTGCAGCTTGTATCTCTCTAATCTGTTAGCCTTGGAAGCAGTCCTTTTCTGCACCAAAGAATTTGTTGGGCCGTAAGAGGTCAAGTGTATTGAAACTGCAAATACTTTAAAAGCGAAGACCTCAGCTTGACTTGTAATAATCACTTGCCTAATCAGTGAATGATGTTTCAATTGGCCACTAAAAAAATGGATTTAGGGTATCCAACCTGGAGAAAATGTGATGAAAAATACAATGAATAAAGGTTATAGTAGAGCCTCTGGAAATTTGGAAGTCCTCTGGTTATTAGACCACAGATATTGCTGGATAGTCCAGCCTTTCCTTTCAAATTGATTTGCATGGACACAAGGCCAGCAGATGAATAAACAAAGCACTGGTTTAATGAAATTGCTGGTTATAATGGATGACCTGCAGTATAATTTCTCAACTATCTGCTGGGTTCAATTGGTTCTTGTGTTGTCCGATTCAGATAATTGAAACCCCACGGCAGCATTGATAGAATACTGTATTATCAGAGATACAAGATTTAAGGTTGAAATGTTTAACCAGGGCTCTGCCTGTCTCAGTGGTTCAGGTGGATGTTGACGGCAGGAAAACATGTGAAGAAGAGCAGGGTGTTATTTTAGATTTCTCGATAGACATCCATCTGTTAACCGAAGCTATCAAAACCGATGTGATTGCTCATTCATCTCATAGCTTGCTGTGGAATTCTGTTGTACACAGTAACAGGCACTGGACTTTATGCTGGATGAAATGCACAAACAGATGAAATAAGATGCTGTAAAAGTGGAAATATTTATTTAGTTTACAGCTTTGTTGACTTTGTAGCATGTACCTAACACACTTCTTTCTATGTATAGCTATCGAAATATTCTACAACTGGTAAAACCTTGGTACGATGAAGTGAAGAGCTATAGTTTTCCGTATCCTCGTGACTGTAATCCTAGGTGTCCCCTGAAATGTTACGGACCAGTATGCACGCACTACACCCAGGTACAAATGCTTACTATATTTCTTCTAACTTACTTTTAATACAAAGTTTCATTCAATCATATTGTGCAATAACTGAGTAAAATGCTTGTCATTCCTTAGATGGTTTGGGCAGCATCCAATCGAATAGGCTGTGCAATCCATACATGCCACAATATGCATGTCTGGGGGTCAACCTGGCGACGTGCTATATACCTCGTTTGCAACTATTCTCCAAAGTAGGTGTACAGATTTATTTCTAATAATAGCATGATTTCCTAATTTCACCTGTATTGCAAAACTGTAGATATTTAAGTCTTCATCATTTGGTGGCACGGTGACTCAGTGGTTAGTACTGCTGCCTCACAGCGCCAGGGACCCGGGTTCAGTTCCACCCTGGGCAACTGTCTGTATAGAGTTTGCATGTTCTCCCCGTGTCTGCGTGGGTTTCCTCCTGGTGCCCTGGTTTCCTTCCACAGTTTAAAAATGTGCAGGCTAAGTGAATTAGCCATGGGAAATGCAGGGTTCCAGGGACAGGGTAGGCTCTGGGTCTGTGGAATGCTCTTTGGAGGGGCAATGTGGACTTGATGGGCCAAATGACCTGTTTCCACATTGTAGGGATTCTATGATTCTATGATTTGGATTATATCAGCTACAAAGCTACCAAACTTCCACTCCATTAGAGGGAGTTCCACTAGAATGAAAACTGGCAAGGCTTTTAATGCAGGAAAGTTCACTTTTTCAGATTACCCCCATATAGTGAAAGCAAACCATTACCTTTCTGTATTAGCACTTCTTACCCTCTTTTAAATTTGCTTGTTTGCTGGATCAGATGTTGCTGATCTGGTACAGTTTCTGCGAAAGGTATGATACAAAATGTTAGTCTTTCATCACCAGTTCCAAAGATATTGGAGACAGCTGTCTCTCCTTTCATTTGGAGAGAATGGTTTGTCAAGTAGAGGTTTCTAAATACAAAAACATGTAGACATACACTGTAGGGAATGGGGAGCTTTAAGCCCAAGGGCAGGCAGTTTTGAAAGGGGAGGACAAAATGTTAACAATCTGAATCTTGGCATCACTTTGTCTTCATGATTTTAATGGAGACAATCCTGGGGGACAGATGATCAACTCATTCCCAGGAGGTGGATTGACATGTATTGTAATTATGCTGTGTGTTAAACATACAGAGCATGCAGGAAAACCCTGATATTTGTGGTATCCAGCAGTGTACCCAGCAGTGATTCAGGCTCAGAGAGGGAGCCAGTCCACAAGGGAGTGAGGGCAGAAGGGCCTCCACTGGGCAGGGATCATAGGTGGGGTGGGACAGCTGAGGTCAGCAGCAAGGGGAAGGGGCATGACTTTCAGCAGTCCTGCTTCCCCACCTTCCCAAAGCCAGGGCCCTCGGTCAGATAATGGATACCTGACAATGAAGGATTCCAAGGGAGGCATGCCTCTCAACCACTGCAGAGTGAAGTCCTTAAGCAGATATTAATTGCCCATGGAAGGGCCTTAATCAACAGTGGGACATAGCTTCCTACCGCAAACCTAATTGGGGCTGAGGTGGGAAGATGACAGAGTTCCTACTTGGCACCCCACATTCAGTTAAAGGCCCCTCTGCCTCCTGAATCCATGGTTGCGATTCCCAAAAGGTACTCCTGCTCATAGTTACCTGAAATGTATTTCTAATAGAAAAAAACCCACCCAGAAATAAACAAACATTGAATCAGCTCGATATTCTTAAAAAAAATTATTTAACTTCATTGCCAATGTACTTTCACATCCTCGTAACTTGCTTTGGTGTTTTCTTTAGGGGAAATTGGATTGGGGAAGCTCCATACAAGGTTGGAGTGCCATGCTCAGCCTGTCCACCCAGTTATGGAGGAGCCTGCAGCAACAATCAGTGTTTCCCACGAGTAACCTCAAACTACCTATACTGGTTCAAATGATCCGTTAGGTTTATGGAATATGCTAGTAGCACCACATTAGGATTCCTCTACAGAGTACTAGTCAGCTGAAGGAACTTTGCAGAACATATTTTAATTAATATACCCATTACTATCACTGAAAGTTTTGTCTTAATGGTATCATCTTACAAAACACTTAACATTATCATTGTACTGCTTTTAACTTTCACCAAGTTAGCTCTTGTAGAAATGCAAAAATGTATTATATCAACACAAGGCACTGTATTTATGGAGAAAAAAAACAGCATGATACTGCAGAATATTGCTACCTTTTTATTTACAGGTGAGATTAGAAAGCAGTTTGCCACAAGATTTGTGCTTGGATATGGTTTAATGTTCCTGAGTTGGAAAAATTGTTCATTGATTATCCTAATGGGTATGTGTAGATTTGCACCTTGGTTACTGTTAAAACATGAGGGTCAGTTAGATAAGCTAAAGAATGTGCTCGTAGAAAGCAGTATTTACATCAATTCATAATTTAATCATCTCTGCCCTGAGTAATTGAGGCAGTCTATCTATTAAAGCTTCTCATGGTGCTAAGAAGTTTATTTAAGAAACCTGCAATTTCAGAGGGTGCACAGTTCTGTGTCAGGCATTACTTAAAAGTACTTATCTAAGGTATTAAAGTATGGAAAAAAATAAGGGTGCTTCACATCACTATGATCAACATTTTGATCATTTACCAATTTTCCTGTAACAATGGGAAATTATAAACTGTAGCTCTTGGCAGCTCAAACACATCAACACATCTGTAGGTTCAGGTAGCACATGAGCTGGCCTCTTGTGCAAATTAACAATCTATTACATTTCTACAAAACGTAGGAAGGATCATACTCATTGTCTCTAGCTGCATGGATTATTACTTTTCTGCTTTGAACTCCCAGATCATTAATGTTACTGGATCTTTATTGCTTATTCCATTGATAATACTTCTCCAGTTTTGACTTAATGCCTTTTCCCGACAACAAGTTTTGAAGCAATGAAAGCATTTGTTTAGCATCTTTGATTTTCCCTAGGCACTTTTGTCTTAAAATCCCATTCGTGATTAATACATTCAGAGAAACTGATTAGAAACAACAACTGCTTGAGCAGGTTAATCGCACAATCATATGTGTATGCAGTTCACAACCACCAACTCAAGGGCGTCTCAAAAGGATGGGCAATAAATACCAAGACAGTAGCACTCACATCTGATGAGTGAATAAGAAATAATGTTTGAAGTTTGATGCAAGTTGCATTTACTTGGAGTTTTGACTTCTTTGCTTGCATTTTCTCGGTGCAATTCACTCAAAATCGGTACATCCAGTGCATCAGATTGTAGAATTTTAAGCAAATTATGTTCAGTGGAAATTATGTTTCTGCCGACTTTCATGCTGATTTCAAAACGTTCTGCCAGTAACCAACCTTTACTATAAAACTGTACAACACCTCCTCTAGACCAAATTTATTACCATTGTGACTTTCCAATAATGGACATTCAAAAAGGCTGAAGAAGCAAAGTTATTAAGAATGCCATATTTCAAAAGACTTTTTTCCTCATTAATGAACAAACTATAATATGACAACATATCCAGAAATAGTCAGCTTTTTGAAAAAAAGATTCTTTGGTTATGTAAAATCAGCTCAATATAGGTTTTAGACTAGACATAGGTTAATTAAAAAGAAACAGTATTTTAATCAAAGTTCAGATGTATTAATAAAACTAGTGTGCTACATTTGTGATTAATTGGCACCAGAAGGAGATGCCAATTAACACATGGAATTGTTCTCCATTGAATATTAATGTTTTCTGGGGGCAAGGAGATTTTAGCAGACAAAATTGAAGAAAAGAATAATCAAAAACTGCATGGTAACAGAAATGACTTTGTTCCACATTTTCTTTCATTTCATAAATCAAGTGCAGAGGGTCCAGAGACTAAGCCAATGCACTGAAGATACACTAACTGAGGAACTTCAGTACGGAACAGGCACAGGTACAGATGTGATCATTGCACTGTCCTGTGGTCTATTGACAATTTATAACAGAAACATTCAGTAACAAAATCCATTAACAAGCATTTGATTCTGATGGACAAGGAATAAAGCATTTCCCCGTCTAAAAAATGAAGAAAGTAGCCACAGCCTCAGGTGTTCCTTCAATAGAGCCATTTCATAGTTACATAGTACAGATCGGTACATATTCTACAGATTGATACGTTTTGGATACTGAAATTAACTTTTTAAACAATTGCTAGTACCAATTAGTACCTTGCATCATCAAATAGAATAACTGAAACCAGGCAGAGTATGTGCCTGTACAAACACCATTTAAGAGTAATTATTTTGCCAGTTTTATATCTTAAGATTACACTTGATAAAAAATAATTATTTTGTGAACCATTAAAATCATTTAGGGACAGCAGAAGAAAATGAGTTTGTTTACTTGAAAGAACAAGGCCATACGTCAGACAATACTAGGTTATAATTCAATAGGTTTATTTGAAATCACAAGCTTTCTGATCGTTGCTCCTCTGTCAAGTGACAAAGGGACAGAGCTTCAAAAGCTTGTGATCTCAAATAAACCTGTTGGACTATAACCTGGTGTCATCTGATTTCTGACCTTGTCCACCCCAGTCCAACATCGGTACCTCCACCTACTTGAAAAAACCTTCATCTCTTTGATCTGGCTACTTCACACCTCGGATTTTGCTTTTGGTTGATATAGTTCAATGTATTTTTGTTGGCAGTCACAGACTGAACAATTAATGTTTATAGGTTTCATTCATTACACTTCACAGATACGATAGTGGGATTTACAATAGGTGTGGTGGGGGGGGAATGGGATTTAAGCTTTCATTCAGCTCACTATCAAAGGTATATAGAATGTAACAGCAAACTTAGGCTCCTGCCCACATTCTGCAAGATCCAAGGATAACTGCCTGAAGTTAAAAGTTTATTTTGTAGAAATGCAGATGGGGTTCTGATGATATAATATTAATCCAAAACTGGATAGTAGAGTCAGACCTGGGAGGTGGGCCAGCAATGGACCAATACTGTAGGCTTTTTAAGCATTTTCTTTCCATTTTTGTGTGGGTTGTGAAAAGCAAATTGACTCCTCCAGATTGCATAAGTGCCTTTGGGTCTCCTTTACTCTGTGTTCCTTTTCCCCAGGATCATTTCTGGCTCCTGGGTCTTCATTTGAAGCTGCTCTGTTTTCACATTTAAATGGATATGTCATTGAAAACATATTGAAGTAAAATTCTGTTTTTTAAATACAAAATTAAAAACAGATACAAAATAGTCAGTATTTTGAGCTACACAAAACTTAAATTAGTCTTTCAATTACATTGTATGATATGTTAGCCCTTAACACATTTGTCTACAATTCCTTTTCCACGTTTTATCTATTCTAGACATGATAAATTTGCTATTAAAATAAGAAAATAATATCAGTGTTGAATAATACGGGTGATTCAAAGTCATTGCAACTTTTTATGATAGACAAAAAATTTGTAAGGTAAAAAACTGACAGCCAGTCAGATACCTGCATTCACATTCTCATCTAAGTTAAAATTACCCTTGTACCTGTTATCCCAAAATAATAATCATTAATGAACTAACAAAGTTGAGTCCCGTCCAAAACAAAGTAAACTATTTGGAAACCTGGTTTACATTCTTAAACAGTAAGATATATATTTGTTAATCCTGTTTCATTTTATATTGCATTGAAACTGATTTATTGTATTTGTATTTAAAATACTTTTGAAAGATTTGTACTTAAACTGCAACACCATATATAAATCATCCATCTTGAAATTCACATACTGACATTGATGGAAACGCTGACTGTTTGTATATTAAAATCTTGTATGTCAACTGTTCTCAATAAAGAATAAAGATAATAAAGAAAAGTTTATAAAAACAATTCTTAGATTTCAGTGCCTTCCATTGCCTAAAAAGTTTCATTTATTTTTAAGATATAACTAACTGATCAGAGTTAATGCAAACCACTAGTAAATCTTTGCAGAACACCTACGCTCGGTTCGCAATAAACAACTGCACCTCCCAGTCGCGAACCATTTCAACTCCCCCTCCCATTCCTCAGACGATATGTCCATCCTGGGCCTCCTGCAGTGCCAATGGTATCAATGTGGATTTCACAAGTTTCAAAATCTCCCCTCCCCCTACCGCATCCCAAAACCAGTCCAGCTCGTCCCTGCCTCCCTAACCTGTTCTTCCGCCCACCTATCCCCTCCTCCCACCTGAAGCCGCACCTCCATCTCCTACCGACCAACCTCATCCCGCCCCCTTG